GGCATAAAAGGCTGGCGGCGAGAGTTATCTGTGTTGGTTATTACCATTCAGCTGTAGGATTAGCTAAGCTCTCCACACAGCTTGTGTACTTTTGCCTTCATCAAACGCTGCCCAGCTTTTACACTCCGAAATTTAGAGACCGGAAAAAAAAGAACCATCTCCCTCGCTTTCATCTCCTTTTGGGACAGTTTTTTTTTTGTAGCGTGTGTTTGGCCTCACCATCACAAGTGTGTAATTCTCAAAAGGTTGCGCTTCTTTCGGAGGAAATTGATTGCCTTGCAAACTTAAGGATACCCGGAAACACTCTTTTTACTCTTTAGAGATGTATATGTGCTCCTGTCATGAACCACATGCAACCTTTTTTGTGCTATTGTTCCAAACGCCCCTCTTTATGCAAATCTACACTACTTCTTTGAAGTTTAAAACAAAGTTAACCTCTGTTTATCTTTTTTTTTTATATTCAGGCAGAGTACTTTTATGAGTTTCAGACTCTGCGTTCATTGGATCAAGACATTATGGATGACCCTACCGTCAACGTTCCTCTCTTAGGATCAGTGCCACACAAAGCCTCTGGTGTGCTTTTATTTAATTTATTTATTTTACTATTGTTGTGGCTTTAATCTTCCCTCTTAAAGGGATAGTTCACCCAAAAAGGACAATTCTGTCATTTACTCACCCTGCACTTTTTCCAAACCTGTGTGTTTCTTTCTTCTGTTGAACATAAAAGAAGATATTTTGAAGAATGTTGGTAACCAAACAGCTGACGGTAGCCATTGACTTCCATGGTATTTTTTTCCATACTATGGAAGCCAATGGCTACTGTCAACTGTTTTGTTACCAACATTCTTCAAAATATCTCCTTTTTTGTGTTCAACAGAAGAAATAAACTCACACAGGTTTGGAACAACTTGAGGGTGAGGAAATAATGACAGAATTTCATTTTTGGGAGAACCATCCTTTTAACAAACGCTTTGATAATAAACTGGTGGAGTACTGGAATATGCATGAAGTGTATTGATATATTCACATAATTATCTATCTAGATTCTTAAAATCACATCTATGAGATGATTATTATAGCCCATGTAACATGTGGCACATCGATGCTTAAGGTTAGGTAATCAATAAGGGCTTTTGTGTACTCAGTGGTCCAGGTGGGCTTCCCATGCAGAGGTGACCAGGATGGTGTGGCAGCATTTGAGGTGACCATCCTGGTGATGGATGCTGGAGGAAACATCATCCTGAGGACGCCACACAACGCTATCTTCTTCAAAACATGTCAGAGAGGTACATTTTCCAAATTTGTAGTCCAACCTTACATGCACAAAATGAGTGTGTGGTTTATAGAAAACGTTATGGAAATGTAAAATACTGCATCAGGCATAGAAACTCTGCTGATGAAAGCCCAGAAGCAATTTTATTGCTCAGAAGAGTTTTCAAGAACATTCAGCTCAGATTCATCTCAGTTGTTCGTCTCCTAAAATAAAATATAAACTGACACAAATGAGACATTTGACATATAATATGAGAATAGTGCTATAAGATAAATATAGTATTCTGTATATGGTAAGATATGGCGAATGTCTGGTTTTATGTAAATGTGAAACATTTTTGAGATCTGAAGCTCTAAATATGTATATACACCACTATTCAAAAGTTTAGGTCAGTAAAGTTTTTTTTTAAAGAATATTAATATTTTATTCAGCTAGAATGCATAACATTGGCAACAAGTGACAGTAAAGACTATTCTATTTCAACTAAATGCTGTTATTTTGAACTTTCTATTCTTCAAAAAAGTCTCACAGTTTCTACAAACATTTTTTCAACATTGATAGAAATCAGCATATTAGAAGGACTTCTGAAGGATCACGTGACACTGAAGTCTGGAGAAATGATTGCTGAAAACTCAGCTTTGCCATCACAGGAATAAATTACATTAATTAATATCGAATAATAATAAGTATATTTCACAGTATTGTTGTTTACTGTGTTTTTGATCAAATAAATGCAGCTTTGGTGAGCATAAGAGACTTCTTTCAAAACATTAAAAAATCTTACTGACCCCAAACTTGAACAGTAGTATATGTGAAATTACTGTTTTTTTGTTGTTGTCATTTTTTTTTTTCTCAAGAGAAAAACCAGGAGACTTCGCTAAAAGTCTTCTTTTGCTCTAGAAGAAACAATCAAGCTATTAAAGAGCTCTTATTTAGAGCATGTTTTGTCTCCTCTCCCTCTCGCTCTTCTTTAAGAGTAGATGGTAAGAGAGAGAGAAGCAGAGATCATCATGGTATGGGTGACTCTCAACCTAACCCACAAAGCCATCGCTGGCTCATGAGGTCATGTGAATCCTGCCAGCTGCAGCCCTTTAGAATGAGCGTGTTATGTTTTTCTCTGATCCCCCCTCCCTTCTCTCACACAACACTAACCTCACGGTGTTGCATTCCCCTACACACCCTTCTCCACCCCTCTCCATTCGGCGTGTAGACTTCACAGATCAAATGGTCCATCTGTCTGAAGCCACCCCGCAGGGAGGAAGCAAAGTGTTTCCTAGTGACAGCTGAGGGTGCCTTAATGACTAGTACTCAAAACTTGTTTTTTTTCAAAGTCTGGCTGCTTGAATTTCACCCACAGGACAAAATTATGTTGATGTAGTTGATATAGCTTAACACCTTCAAGTTTATCCTCTTTTTGAGGACCATTTTTAAGAACGTTAAACAACAGTTTCGTGTTTCATAAACATGATATAAATGAAACCGCATCGAGTTAACCTTAAAAAAAGGTTAGTTTAAACAATAATTAACATTCTGACATTATCTACCCAGCTTTGTCATTCCAAACTTGACAAAAACACAAAAAGCGACATTTAACAGGATGTCCAAGCTGCTCTTTTCCATATAATGAGAATGAATGGGGACTAAGAGCAATAAAAGTGATCCATATGACTTGCCAGCACTACTTTCCAAGCATTTTGAAGCTTTAAATGAAGAACAGACCCAAATTTAAAACGGTTTTCACTGAAAATATATCTTGACAGCCTCAGTCCCATTCACTTTCATGGTATGGAAAAGAGCAGCATAGACATTCTGCTAAACTTCTCCTTTTGTTTTTCACAGAGAAAAGAAAGTCAAATGGGTATCCAAAGACATGAGGGTGAGTAAATGATGACAGAATGTCAAGTACACTAAACAACATAGTCTTTAGAGACAGTTGTGAATTACATTGAAACACATCTGCAACAGTATACGGGGCCACATTGCATTTGGCAGAGTTGTTGACATTGTGGTTTCACCTCAAAGCTGTTTTTTTCTCTCCTTATATGCTGGTGTCAGTTCTTTTGAAGGAAGTACTGTTACTGAATTCACTGCTCTTTTTGATGTCCTTGAAGTGGAATAGGAAGGGAGTAAGTTAGGAAGTGTTTGGTGAAGATTAAAAAAAGAAAGGAAATGTTCTCACCATTTATGTCTCCTTTTTCTGAAGCAAAGTGCCCTGGTGGTTGCCGCAATGGAGGCTACTGCAATGAAAGGCAGGTCTGCGAGTGTCAGGATGGGTTTTACGGCATTCACTGTGAGAAAGGTAACCACATTTATATAAGCCCATCATAAAGACAAATAAAAACAAAGTTACTGATGTACAAATTAGTATGTTGCAAGTTGCCCACAATGCAGTTTACTTCAAATGCAATGTAAATGAAATATATTAAAATTAAATAATATAAAAATAAAATAAACATTCAAATAAAAATTGAAACAAATTATTTATATTAAATAAAATACTGTATTATATATTACATAATGAAATATAATTTAAATATAATATTTGTATTCAATTAACTATTAGAGTTTTTTATCAATAGTTTTGGTCTTACTAGATCTCTGAAGTGTCCTATAAAGGTCTCAAATCGTACCTGCAACCACACAAACCCATTAACAACAGATGTGAGCATGTAGAACCTTGTCATAAAGTCTCCACTAAAAAAGCCAGATAGGTTCATAAAAAAAAAAAAAGAGAAGTATAGAGTTAGAAGTAACTCTTTTCTCAGAAAGACAAGCCTGCTTTGGAAACAAACGACTGCATATAATTTATTATGATGATGATTATACTCAACCTCAGGGCATCACTTCCCAAAATGCCTTGTGCAAATTACAAAGCGTGGTTAAGCCCGCTATGTACTAGTTTAGATGAAGGAATCGAGCACGCATGTATTCTAGAAGGTTTCTTGTCTGAAACAATGTGAATTACCCAGCAGGTTGGGAGGCACAAACATGTGTTTTTCATCTATTTACAACTTTAAAGAGCGGTTTACCAAAAAAGGCTTCCATTAGACGCTGAAAATGTTTTCAGTATCCTCATTGTAGCTGTGTTTGTACCTAAACCGCTTCCACAAAACACCTTTTCTCCAATACAGCTTTTGGCTGATTTGTTTTCGCCTGCGTCGCTGCCAAAACCACAAAGATTTGTGTCCAAAATATCCTTCCATTCTTCAACAACAATAGCTGTGTGAAGTTTAATATGTATATTTGTAACTTAAAACTAGAATATTGTTACCTTATTTTCAGTTTGTCCCTGGAAACATTCATTTGTATTTTGCATTAAGAATATTTGAATCATGTGGGATGAGCTGCTACAAATAAAGTATATATTATGGTATATTAGATATAAGTTACATTTCTTCTTCTCTTTATTAGCCCTCTGTTCCCCAAGATGTCTGAATGGTGGCCTGTGTATGAGCCCAGGTGTGTGTATATGTCCTCCAGGCTACTTTGGACCCAGCTGTGAGAGAGGTTAGTTTCCTACCTGTTATGTCGTATCAAACATGCTGTTATTGTGCTATATATGTGTTCAACCATTCATTAAACCATAAATTAGTACACTTGAACTTGACTAAAACATGCTATAAATCAATACATATAGTACACAAAAATAAACATGAGGGTTTTAAATACATTATCTTGACTAATTAATCAATAACAAGACAGAAAATACTCTACTTTTTTTTTTTTTTACAGCTGTTTCTAAATGATTTAGACCAAAAGGTCAAAGCCATGAAACATGATCTACAAAACCGTTACTTAAATAAATAAAAGCACAAATTGTGTGTGCGTCATTTATCTTTGTAGTTTGTGATGTGTTCATTGATTTGCGTTGTTTTTTCTACATTAACAGCTAACTGCAGCACCACCTGTTTGAATGGAGGGACATGTTTCCATCCTGGCAAATGCATCTGTGCCGTCGGCTTTGAAGGGAGCCGCTGTGAGCTCAGTGAGTTCAGCTATGTGTACACTGTGAAAGAACTACAGTCAGACCACAATAACAGAACACATTAAAAGCGATCTAAACTAAACAAACCAATTTGCAATGAAAAAAAAAATTCTAATGGGTTTTCACTGCAAAAAAATGCTTTTCTTACTTAGATTTTTGTCTTGTTTCCAGCCAAAATATCTAAAAATTCTTAAATCAAGAAGGATTTTTTAGACAAGTAAAAATTATTGTCTTTTCTTCAGAAAAAAACGTCAAAATTAAGTGAGCTTTTGCTTGAAACAAGCAAAATAATCTTGTTTTCTGTTTGAAATCAGATTATTTTGCTTACCCCATTGGCAGATTATTTTGCTTGTTTCAAGTAAAAACTCACTTAATTTTGACAGTTTTTTTCTGAAAACAAGACAATAATTTTTACTTGTCTAGAAAATCCTTCTTGATTTAAGAATTGTTACATATTAAGAAAAGCATTTTTTGCAGTATAGGGGGAAAAAATGTTAAATAAGAACTGCCACTACTAAAAGGGCATTGTTTTATATGTTTGAGGAACCACAAAAACAATGGTAGTCTTTATGTTCAAAAGTACCATTCAAAATGAATGGTTTTATTCAAAAAGAATGCGATAAATTGATCAAAAGTGACAATATAACAAAAGATTTCTCTTTCAAGTAAATGCTGTTCTTTTCGCCTTCCTATTCATCAAAGAATCCCGAGAAACATATATCATGGTTTCCACAAAAATATTAAGCAGCACAACTATTTTCAACATTGATAATAATAAGAAATGTTTCCTGAGCACCAACATATTAGAATGATTTCTAAAGGATCATGTGACACTAAAGAAACAGGAGTAACGGCTGCGGAAAATTTAGCTTTGCCATCACAGAAATAAATTACAATTTAAAATATATTCAAATAGAATACAACATTTTATTTCGCACGTAACTCAAAAAAAACAAAACAAAAAAAAAATTAAATTCCTGAGCCTATGACTCATAAAATGCCAACTTCCAAGTTTTAGGACTACTAACTAAACAGCTCTATTAACTTCTAACGTAGAGTATTAACTGGCTGTTACTTTATCATCATCATCTTTCAAAGAGAAAGCCGTGTTGTTGTTCTTTGGCAGTAATAGGCTCACTTTCACAAATTGTCCTCAGAGCAGTTCTCCAAGTAAACTTCCTAAGTGAAGTGTGTTCTCACATTAGTGTTAAATGGGCCGGCACCTACATGGGCAAACACAGGATGTAATGCAGTTGTGTTGTCACCCTAATCACTAATAACAACCTCATGAGCTCACATGCACTCAAGCAGTGTGGCGTTTTATCTCTGGCCATTCACAGAAAACGTTTTACTTCCTTTTTTAAAATTAAGTGCAAGTATTGCGATAAAAGCCATTTAGGACTTGCTCACTGAGGCTTGCTTTGAGGGTGATAACAACTATATATACGTACTTCCTTTGCTTTAAAGGTCTGTATCTATTTCGGTGATGTTTAAACAACTCCTCTTTGACCCCGAATTTCATCCTTTCCTGTTCAAAGGCAGGAAGTATTGAAGTATTCAGAGGCGCTTGGTCTGAAAAGGGAGGAAAGAGAAAATACTGAAGTAACATCTCTGTAACATTTTAATAGCATTAAGCCAGTTGTTGCTTTCTGATCCATTGCAGTATCGTGTTCTCTGCCAAAACGGGCTGTGACATAAATGCTCGGAGTCCCGTTGAGGTCATGTTATGTAAAGACGTCCCCCTCTTTGTCTGGTTTCATGGGCATGGATTTCGCTGATTTGTCAAGGAACAAAGAAGCCGCTGAAATTCAGTTGATCTTGATCAAATATGCTGGTGTAAGAGGATCCGAGAGTGTTTGGAATGGGTCTGTCTGCCTGTGTGCCCCTGCTTTTGTTTTTCAAAAGCATTGAATTTCCTTTTTTATGTTTCATTTAGTTTACTAAAGCAAGATCAATTACTGTAGTTTGACAAGAAAAATTGCTTAAACCCCCAAAGGCAAAAATAATAACATAAGCTTGATGCGGCATAAAACCCCAATGGCAAATAAGGACATTAAATGTAAATGTAATGTAAAACGTTTGTGTACATTGAAAAATGTACATTGTATATGTTCTATAAATATATTTATATAAATATAACATGCAATATAATATTAATATATAATGTTTAATATATGTCATGTATTAGATTTCTGTTCAGAATGATGTTCATAATATTTTTGTCTTATATTCAGTATAAACATATAAACATCCCTAAAGCAAGATCAGTTACTGTAGCTTGACTAGTAAAATTGCATTAAAAAAAGAAAATAAAGTAAGCTTTATATTGTAAACCCCAATAAATAAAGAAATAATGTTAAAATTGAAATGTTATATTTTATATGAATACATTTTATTTTATTAGATTTTAAAAATAATTAAATAAAGTTGATACTGTGTAAAACCCAGTTGCAAAAATAAATAATTGTAAAAATATAATAATTATAATAATAATAAGTGTGTGTGTATTTTTATTTTTTTGCAATGTAATTCCCCTACTTCCATTAAAACTGAATAGGGAAATTAATTAATAATAAACAAGAGCTATTGTTCAAGATGATCTTGTCATAATAATACAAGTTACTAATAGTATAAGTTAAGATAACTTATTTTGAAACGCCAGTTAGCAAGAAAAAACATTGTTTTTGCATTTTGGGATTGCATTTGCGATTGTTGTCTGCAGGTAAATGTCGACAGCTGTGCAGAAATGGAGGCAAATGCACGGGCAGGAACAAATGCAAGTGCAGCAAAGGCTACCATGGCGATCTGTGCTCCAAAGGTGAGATTATCTCCACTTGGCAGAAGAACTGTGGACATATTTGATCAAAAACACATGTTCCACCGCAGCATCGCTGTATGCGCTTTGCTCGCGCACAATAAACACTTTGAAAAATGAACCGTCGGTGCTTGATTGCACCTTAAAATTTCCGCTCGGGCTGCAGGCTTGCTGAACAGCACAGGATACATTTCTAAGACTAAACACTGCGTCTCTGTGTATGGCTGAATGTGTATGTGTATACGTGTGTGCAGCTGTCTGCGAGCCCAGCTGTGGAGCACACGGGACCTGTGTGGAGCCCAACAGGTGCCAGTGCAGGGACGGCTGGCATGGACGTCACTGCAATAAGAGTGAGACAACATCCTTTTTCCCAAGGCCAAGATACTAATTGCCACCTGGAAATGGATTAGAGCAAGAAATCCGCTGTAATGCCAGGGTATTACCATGGATATTTAGACATATTACCATAATAATACCATAGGTTTTTGGACAAATGATATTCATGGTAGTACCTTGGAGTGCTATGCAATTGAAAACAACTTAAACTAAATGAAAACAGCTTTGTTAACTTAAAACATAAATAAAAACTAAAGATTACTGGGAAACACTGGGAAAATGTTAGAATGATTTCTGGGGAAAACTAAACTAAAATACATTTTCATGACCCCAGAACGAACTAATAAAAACAGTTTTTTAAATTAATTAATGGTACTTTATAAAACCTGTACAACCCACCTGCATTAAACATGTAAATGCCACTAGATAGTGATAACACTAGTCAATCTTTAGAAATGCAAACATTTTTAAATGATACCATTATGCATTGACTTTTGCCCCCCTAAAAACACTAAAACAAAATTAAATAAGCTGAAACTAGAAAATGTTGACAAAAGATAGAAAACTTTGTGTAAACAAAAACTAAACGTAATTGAAAAGGCAAATTAAAAACAAAATAAATATTATACTTAAAAAATACAATTATAATAACCCAGATGCCATGCAGAAGTCATTGTCTATATTAAATATTCATTTTTATTAATTATTTTAATATTTAATTATTTTATATCACGACACAGTGTTTTTGTAAGGCCAGTTATATATCTTACCCTCATGCATTTATAGTGACATTCAACCACAAGTTAAGCAAATTTAACTATTTTTAATTGACTATTTTTCCTTCTCCGTAAGTCGTATTGAACAGTCTTTATCAAATTAACCACAGTTTGCACCATTTGAACTAAAACCCTGGCAAAAATACTTGTTTTGTATACATTCACAGTTTCTTATTTGTATTCTTGATCATTATTGCAATATTTTATTATTTAATATGGTATCGCCACACGCTGTTATCATAATGCCGGTTACCTGCTGAAATGGTTGAGCAAAATAAACTATTTTTAACTAGTACCTTTTCATACTTTTCCTAGACAGTTAAGTAGTATTTAACTATTTTATATCAAACAACCACAGTTTGCACCATTTGAACTAAAACCCCCAGCAAATACGGCTTGGCTCTCAATCATAAATGTTGTTCTGCACTGTGCGACACATTTTTAATGGCTCTCTTCCTCCAGGATTTCGTGGAGAAATCTCCAACAGCCAGCAGGTCTCTGGCTCCAAGCACAAGTCACAGCCCGTGGCAGCGAAGGACACAAAGGAAGTGCCTGAATCCAGTCAGCCCTCTGAAACCAACTATGTGGTTTAAGCCTCCAAATTTTGGGTCAATGGCCCCTCCGTTTCAACATCGCCTTCTCCGGAACAAAGCTTTTATCCTCCTCTTCCGATCCTCATCGGGACACTCCCAAGCTGCACTCCTGCTTTCTCAGAGCGAGACTTGTTTTTGTAGTACAGTCACAGTGTCTTATTTTACCACACTAACGCCTTTGATATAAAATCTCCCACAGTCACCCTTCATCGAGCTCCTGTCCTGCGTCAACCAAGAGGGGAGTGAGTCACATGCTTGTGGTGAGCGTCTGTGATGTTTGCGCGGTTTAGCTTCAGATGTGGTGCTGAATCACTGGGAGAAGTGTACGATCCGAGAACTTCCGGGTGCGGATCTGGCTTTTCTTAGGAATGTAATTGCTGCGTTTGGCTTGTGCTCATGGTTCATCTGATTTAGTAAACTCACACTTATGTAGTAGCTTCTCCAACAAGTACTTGTGTATGTATCCTATTCATGCTATGTAAAATTAAAATATATAGATATATATTTAGATATGGGTAGACAGTCTTTAAGTTTATGCTTAAAGTTTTCATACTTACGTATAACAATGCACATAAGCTGCTTGTGATGTCATAAACAAAGCCAAAAAGTCTTAATTTTTCATGTGACTTCATTACAGAAATAAAATGTGCTTTCATGGAGCCTGTGAAGATGAAGTGTTCGTTTTGAATTGGTAATGCAACAGTTCTGTCATTATTAACTCACCCTCATGTTGTTCCAATCCTGTTTAACTAACTTTCTTCTGTGGAACACAAATATCCTCGAAAAAGGCCTGTTCACACCAAGAACGATAACTATAAAGACAACTATATTAGCGTCCACACCAGCGGACGATATCGTCTGTTTATTTTAAGTGCATCTGCTGCTTTAAATTTTCGTGCTCGTTACAGCAGGATTGATTCTGATTGGGTGCCAGTGTTATTATCGTTCATCAGCTGGAAAAAAAAAAATTGTCCTGAAAGTGATTCCAACGATATTGTTTCTCTGTGCCTTTATCGTTATTGCTGTGGTGTGGACTCTGCTATTCTTTAATATTGAGAATGTTTTTAGAACTATATCTTTATCGTTATCTTTATAGTTATTGTCCTTGGTGTGAACAGGCCTTAAGTCTGTCGAGCTCCAAAAAGGACACAAGATGACCATAAAAGCGTAAAAATGGTCCATATGATTCATTGAAAATATGCCCTTGGCGTGTTCATAAGAACAAATTCATTCATTTGAATGGGCTCTTTTCAGTAAATTGGATAATCCAGTTTACAAAACTGAGACATTCGCAAACTGAATGGATTTGGTTCTTCAGTTCAACTCACTCAATGGCTGTTGAGTTAGCATCTCACTGAAGGTGATTATCAGTGCATAACTTATCAGTGCATAATTTAATCTTAAATTTTGGCCTTTTCCTCACCCAAAACCATCTAATGGCTGTAGAGGAGATGAAATATAGTCATATGGTGTACTTTTATGATATCTTAATGGTGCTTTTGAGTTGTTTTTGAAGCTTGAAAGCAGAATGGCATGGGCTAAATAATGACAAGTTTCACCTTTTTCCTCAAGTCTTCAAAATATGAAAGAAAACTCCAGACAAAGTCACTATTTATTGGAAAGGGCCAAGGTTTAGAGAGTAAATTAAATATGCTATAATTCAAAAGTTTTTAATGTTGAAATTAGTCTCTTATGCTTACCAATGCTGCATTTGTTTGATAAAAAAAAAATAAAAAACAGTAATATTGTGAAGTATTATTACAATTTAAAATAACTGTTTTCTGTTCTAATATATTTGTAAAAAAAATTTTTTTTCCTGTGATAGCAAAGCTGAATTACTACAGCCTTCATTGTCACATGATCCTTTAGAAATTATTCTAATACAGGTGCATCTCAATAAATTAGAATGTCATGGAAAAGTTAATTTATTGAGATAGTGAATTGGTGGGTTTTTGTTAAATGTGAGCCAAAATCATCACAATTAAAAGAACCTTAGACTTAAGACTTAAACTACTTCAGTCTGTGTGCATTGAATTTATTTAATACACGAGTTTCACAATTTGAGTTGAATTACTGAAATAAATGAACTTTTCCATGACATTCTAATTTATTGAGATGCACCTGTATATGCTGGTTTGGTGCTCAAGAAAGTTTTCTTAGTTGGAAGCAGTGGCCAGCTTAACACTTTTGTGTAAATCGTGATGAATACATGGTTCAAAAGAACAGCATTTATTTGAAATAGAAATCTTTGTAACATTGTAAACGTCTTTTCTGTCACTTTTGATAAATTTAACCGACCTCACACTTTTTGAACAGTAGTGCATACGTATACACTTAATCTTTCTTTCAATTAGTTAACAGTTATTGCATCATTTGTTCCACGGGTTTTCTGAACCTATAAGGGAGGATTGTAAAAATAAAGTGGGCCAAGTTTTACGGGCCGGCCTTGCGGCTCCTGTACAATTGCGGGGTGACTACACTGTGGTGGGTCTCGCTCCATGTGCACTGGCAGGCAAAGTTGCTTGTTGCTCTCCTGAGCAAAATGAATGATGCTTTCTGAAAAGATTCCAAGCATTCACATATTTGAGTTGATAGAATGGGTGCAGATGTTTACCATCTCCACCATAATGAGACGAATCGTCAGATGTTGGTTTGGTAAAAGTCAGGTCATGCAACTGGAATGTTGATGTCTACTTACCAAATACATAAAGCCTTGTGCAACAGCCACCTGGAAGTGCATTCATCCATTGAGCTTGAATCTCTCAAAAAGCAATCTTTGGTTTTCAAGGTTGAAAAGGTTTGGAGAATTGCAGGATTCTGAGGCTTGTCTATAAATTCTGTCTTGGTAAAGAAGAATGATGGCAATGTGCATGCAATCATGCACACACATGCAGGATCATTTACACATTACGCCAATTAACCTCTACAGGGGGCGCTGATCGATCAGCCGTGCTTCCCGCCGTGGTCCAGAGGAAGCTGGTATGGTGGCCAGAGAGGACAGGTGAAAATAAACAGCTGGTCGGGTGATTATTTGTCCTGTTCCACATCACATAGCAGCTCGGCCCACCATGATTGCCCATGGGAGCCACGTGAATTTGCCCTGTCAGGTCACCTTTCATGGAGGAAATACAACAATAACAAAAACACTATGTGGAATGCCAAAAATGAAGCAGGCAAATTAAATGGCGGTAACCATGGAAACGGAGTCATTTCGTGCCCGTGAATTTTCCAGACATCTGGTAACTTGAGTTAAGCAGGTGCAGTCTGGGTACGAACAGGTATGTTCCATTTATATCTGCCTCTGGGCAATGGAGCGGGTACATCAGAAAGATTTGGTCTGTTGAGAATCAATTGAAATGTTCTTTCTATTACAACTCATATAATGGCTCTTATGAGAATCATAACATTGGAAGAATCACCTTCTGATCACGTAGGAAGGAACAAAGGGCAAAAAAAAAAAAGAGTATATGTGAGCTTGAAATATGCTAGACATACTTAGAAGACTAATCCAAAATCAATATTTAAGCTCAGTTGACAGGCATAATGTTGGTCGCCACAAAAATTCCTTTTGACTTGGCTCTCCTCTTTTTAAAACAGCTTATAAATGATAAAAACACCGTCAGCCAATCAGAATCCACAGAGATTCTAATTCTAATTCAATGAGAATACACAAGTCCATATCACCATTAGATTTATATATGTAGAATCCACATTCAACCTCTCCAGACACGTCGATGCGTCAACCCGTTGTCACTCACAGTAAAAATCACAGCAAAACTTAATATTACCGGTTTTTAACCTATGGTAACTTTTTTATGTCATGTTTGCGCATTCATCTTGTGTTAGTTCAGCAATATCATCTGCTAAGATATGCTAAGGACCGGCTTTGGCCATTCCAATAAGCTTATGTATAGCGGCCCACAGAAACAGCTGCTAATGAGGATTTATGTATTATATATCTATGGTCACAGAAAAAATCTATGAGTTTTCCAAGATGCCACAACTTTGCACAGCTTATGGTTGTAAAAATCACTAAGATTTACATACTGGATGAAATAGGATAACCTTTTACACATGAAAATGTGTTATATATATGAACATATATGAAAACAATATATATATA